TTTGATGCTATTGGCACATGTCAAATCACTTTTGATGAGGTATAATAAAAGAAAAAAATCTTCCTATTTTTGCTCATTTTGCATATTGTATTATTATCTTGATTGATTACACTTCTATCTCAAGCCCATTTTTAAAATCAAACGTCCGATTAAAGCTGGGTAAATTTCGTCCTACTAAGAATGATGTATTTTTCTTTCAGAAAAGGGTCAGCGAATCCAAAGGATGAGCGTTACTTGTTGATTAAAGTGCGATATTTCACTAAAGAGTAGATTGCTGAATGAACTCTTAAGAAAAAGAGAAATAGTCGTGCATGTTGATATGTATGCGCGAAGAAAAGGATACTTTTATTTGAAAACTAATTTAATTATGAAAGAATGCAAAAGTTCAGAAAAGTCTTGCAGTTCGCAAAATCATTTATTTTGCAATTAGTCAATAGCACCTTTTGATTCAGCCAAAGCCCGAGCTTCTTGCATTGCCTACAGAAAAGAAAAGCATTTAGTAATATTAAATATTTAAAACCATCATCTTACATGAAATTTTGCCTTTTCTCTATCGAGAAAATCAAGGCCATGTGTTTCAAATAGTTTATCAACTTCAGCACCAGCGAGTGCAGCAAGTGCTTCTTTAGAAAACTGATGATCATCGCCGGGATGTTGTTTTTCCCAGAGATGCATTGCTTCGAACGCTGCTGCTCCCTTTGCACAGTGTTCAATTAAAGTTAGTGAATATGAAAACAAAAAAAGGACAATTTCTGATAAACTTACACCTAGCAATTCATGACTCCAAGTTGAATGATGTCTGCCACCACGAAATATTGCTGCATGAGCTTCCTCGGACATTATTACTTGATTTTTATCGTCTTCGGATATTAAAGCTTAATTTCTAAAACAAATACAGAAGTGTAATGCGTGTTTATGGATGAGAATGATCGTTGAGTCTTTTCCATTTTCATTACATGCACTGCACACAATAATGAGTATTGTTAAGAATAAATAAATGGGAGGTAACCTTGTTTCAATCCAGACGAATACTAAAAATGAAGAAAATATAATAGGGACATCACTCCTTATTTATTTTTCTTTTGTTGTAATGATCACTGATGCATACATCGCATTTCACTTTCGCATGTATAACGCAAAAGAAAGGCGTGGATAAAAGATATTTTGTTTCAATGGATACGTACGTATTAAAAATAGAAAGAAAGAAAGGTTCTGTTTGTGAACAAATGGTAAACTGATTTAAAAAATGTCTTATCATGACTGGCTGGTGAAACTTTGAGTTTCTTTCAGAGGAGTTAATATATAACGAATAAATACGTTTGAAAAAAAAACAAAACTTCTGAATTCTATTAATTCGATAGATTTTATTTTTGTTTTTAATGCCGATGTATCAATAAACACACCAAATCGCTTGATTTTTTTCTTCTTCTGGTGTCTTACAAAAACAAGTAAGCCTAGTATTTTGATAATTTTCGTACCATTTTTAACTCAGTATGAAATATTTGCATTTTGACAAATTCGATACGACAGTACATCAATATGACCAACTCCATGTTTCATCATATAAACTAGATTTACATGAACTTGTCGAACTGTAAAATTGCATCTTCAGTATAAAATTTCGTAGTATAATTTTTTGTGTATTTCGAAAATTTCCAGATCGACGCATTTTCTGGATCTTTAAGGAAACAAATAATATGTGAAATTCAGTCTACGAAACACTATCTAAAAAATTCTCTTCTTTTATCATAGCACAAGTCGATATTTTTACATTTCAGACAAATCTATCTTATGGACAATAATACGGAATCCGTGTCCAGATGATTTTATTGGAATTTGTTTTATTCAGACACTATTATAGGTATTTGTGATTATATTGAATATAATATACACGTACTCATATGAAATTATTCTATAATTAAATTAGTATGGAATATTACCATGATTCTCTATCTAAGGGTATGCGATGAGTCAAAGATTTAATATTATACATTAGAGATCGTGTAATAACTCTTGAATATCAAGAATAGAACTTCCTGTTTTTTTTTAAATTTCTGATTTCTTAAATTTGAATTTGGCAAGCCTGGATCTATCCAATTAAAACTGAGCCTTCTCATAGGTGAAAAGTCTGTTCGAGAAGTGAATGAAAAAATGGCGAAAGGATTTCTAAAGAAAGAAATGGCGGTAGTCAAAAAAGAGCGTTAATCATCATACCATCAACAAAAAGGCATCAGATTTCTCACGATTTTTTTCGTCCGCAGTTTACGATATAATATTACATATACGTAATGAACTAAGCAGATATTTAATCTTCGTTGGAGGAAGAGCGACAAATATTGCACGTCGCATGACAAACAGAGAAGCGTAGATCGAGAAGCTCTTCTCAGTCACGAATCTCTATGGTGTACGTCTTCCATTTTCTCCTATTCGTCCGACGACGTTTTGACTGCAGTTCGTTTCATCGTTTTTCTGTTCTTGTTTTTTTTCTGAAGTGTCAAGGTCATTCAACGCTGTTCAGTTTCGAAATCTGACAGTTGGCTACTATTGCCTTTGAACACAGACGTGCATCTTTGCAATGACTATGTTCGAAAACATGTTCTTTCTCCAAACATAACACATGTGACTACGATTGAACACAATTGAAACACACAGGATATCATTCATTTGTGTAGTGAATGGAAAACGAGATGTCTATTCGTTACTATCGATACCTTTATTTCAATCAAGATCTTTTGGTTTGAAAGAAATTCATTGGGGCAACAAAAAAAGAACAGATCTCTTGTTGACGACGTGCGCCAACCGCTTGATCTGATTGAGTCAATCCAGAGGAGATTTTCATTGAATCGAAATTCGGAAATACTTTTTCATTTCCATACTCATAATACTTAGTGAACATGTTGCTGGCAATCGATCTTGTAACCATGTGGCTAAGTTTCCTCGCTCCTGTATTAATGTCGGATCCAAACGCCACTTCATATCCTCACAGAAACATGTCAGCGTTCGAAGTTGAATCATTTCGTTCACTAGATTAAGAACGTTGCGACGATCAGTCAGATCCAGTGAGAGAACTTTACATTGACGACCTAATGGCGACACAGCGAAAACANTAAATGGTCATTCTTGGCAAGCGCTCATCCTTGCTTCTTTATCGAAGATCAAAGTCTGGCGATTTTTCACGACATATTCCTTTCATGAAGAGATGATCGTAGAAGATCACGTCGAGCAAATACTCGACACCTTTCGAAACATTTGGATTTTCAGGATATGTCGATTTCGATTGGAACGATGGATGAACAACATAGATGTCCCGACAGCAACTTGGCATCGTGTAGAGAAAGAGTCGTCGACCTGTAATTTGTCGATTCCAATCACATCGAACGAACCAGCGATGTTCATCGAGATAAAATGGTGTTCGAAAGGTGTCGAGTATTTGCTCGACGTGATCTTCGACGATCATCTCTTCATGAAAGGAATATGTCGTGAAAAATCGCCAGACTTTGATCTTCGATAAAGAAGCAAGGATGAGCGCTTGCCAAGAATGACCATTTAAAAATTTCCGATCGGATGTCTCGGGCAGTTCCAATGTGACATGTGATAAATTCGGCATTGATTGGAAAATATTGTTCAGATGATGTAGCGAAGAATCGGTCGATAAGTTGAGTTTGCTGATGGATGGAAGGATAGGGAACGTTTCGAAAGATGCATGTCGATCGAGGAGTGTGGCGTGAACATGTCGAACATTTGGTGTACATAGAAGCAATGCGAACAAGTCTTGGAAGGTAAACTTCACGGTTTTCATCGATAAATATTCAATCGTTTCGGATGTTCGCAATGGTTGTCGGAAAGAATAAGGCGAAAGCATGGCGGTAAAATCAAGATGACAGTGAGTCAATTTGGGCAAAAGCCAAACGTGATGGATTAAGTCGGAAAACTTGTACGTGTTACGGCAGGACCAGTTTGTTATTTTTAAACGAGTCAGGGAGGACATTTGATCACAATTAGATAGAATTTTCATGACGAGTTCGATTGAATCAGCATGATGAATTTGATTGATTAAGGATTCATCATCAAGAAAATCATCCAGGAGATGTGGTGTTTCATCATCATCATTGGACAGGTGCAACGTGGCGACTTGTCGACTAATCAATGGAAGATAAGCACGACAGAAATGATTGAAATCGTGTTGTGATGCTGACTGGAAGTCAACATGGTATATACGAGCGTGAACTAGTAGAAGTTCGTTGAACCGAGTGTTGAGACCATAGAAAGCACGAAAGAGATCGATCGCATTAATACACTCGAATATGTCGAGTAGTAATTCATTAGCGAGAGATTCCAAAGACATTTCTCCTCTTCTTTTTACGACAATCTATATGAGTATTGTAGATCAGCATACACCTGCATATTAATATCTTTCATGTCTTTTTCTTTCTTCACATATGTCGCAATAACCATCTCAACTTGAGTCATGGTATTTTTCCTGTCATAAATGTGTATGCATGTGAGGCGCGGGTGCGCTTGAGTATAGGTATAAAAGAATAGAATTTTAGAAATATTTTCATCTGTCCACGAATCTATCGGTTTTAAATGATCTCAAAGAACCACAGGGATATTCTTTAGCAGATATAAACAATATGTTAGAAGAAGATCATAAAATCATAGCTAGACTCAAACCTACATCCTCCAATAACTGGTCGGGTATTCTACCAAGTCGAACTATATAATATTCACTTTAGACGGTTAATGGCTCCATATCGAAGATTTAGAAAAGTTCGAAAAATAGATGGATCAGGACATAAATTATTAAGAGGTCATCTACTTTTGGCTAATGGTCCTGTTCGATGTTTAACAAATGAGTAATAACGATATCGTTCTCATTATCAGTTTCATCAACCATTTACTCTTACTGATCCGTGCAATGATCCTAACGTTCGACCATTCTTTGTTAAAATCTATAAAAATTTGTATGAAAATTTAACTAAGCGTTTTCATATACTAAGAATAGATGAATATACATTATCAGATTGTCCAAAAAGTTCGTGCAACTACTGTTTTGCTGCAAGCGTGAAATATATGGTTTCCACCATTGTGTAGAGCGTCCATTTTTAGGATGGTACACCAATGTTCACCTAATTACTTCATTGCCTTCCTGAAGAAAAAAATGATATTTTAACAAACAGATGTGTCATTTTCAAATATAATTAATGCTAGTGCCAGTACTTTAGTATCTACGTATCTGCATATTTAGATAGAATTGGCAAGCAGGATTTATAGGATAAGTACAATTTCATACGGGGCACAATTTGCAGCGGTCAAAATCAAAACATGTTGCTTTCAAATTTTGAGACCTTCCAGAGATCGTCGGAATAATCTTTCACATCTGATCGTAGAATCTCGAAATTCAGAGATTATCTGTTGAAAGAGTAACGAAAATTCTATGTGTGGGTGAATTTTCTGAGCAGTCAAAAGAGATTTCGAAGTGGTGCGCAAAAATTTTGAAAAAAAAATGCGCATTTTATTTTCGAGTTTCTGCGTCTTCATAGTGCATCGCCGTCGAAACGGTTTTTTCGAGGCTTAACCGATTGAAACTTCAAACCAACATAGTACGCCATGAAGCCTTCGATCAGCTCCCCAAAACTATAAATCCAATTTCTGAAACACACATCTCATTGATATTTAACTTCGAAGTATGACATCTAAAAGATGGACACATCTGTTTGTTAAAAAGTCATTCTTTTCTCCAAGAAGACAAGTAAGTAATTAGGTGAACATTGGTGTACCATCCTAAAAATGGACGCTCTACACAATGGTGGAAACCGTATATTTCACGCTTGCAGCAAAACAGTAGTTGCACGAACTTTTTGAACAACCTGATACCTAGATTTTGTTCATAATAGAAGGAGAAGTACAAAAATCCATGTGCACTGAAAAACATCTAAAGCACTATTTATTTAAATTATACTAATTATTTGGTGTGTTAGGATGTATACATATAGTATTTTGCTTACACTCTCCTTTTTTGATCGACGACCCCTCGCTTGTCTCAGACCGTTCGATGCAAAATCATCTACTCCACCTATTCCAAGTACTGGAACGAATATCAACAGGAAACAGTCGCTCGGCTGCTAACTTCCACTATGTGTTAGACACATATGTTCGCAATTATACTATGCATTGTACTCAAGGTTTTCGAAAATTGATTAAGAACAAAATTAAACTAGCTAAGCGTCTAGCTGAAAATCTTTGAGCATTATAAAATTTTTATTAACTAACTTGTTCTAACCCTTGCCTCTTGTTTCTTCTTTGTTATTTCTTGATTAATCAAACTATAACTAAATTATTCATTCTCTTTTGTCTATTTCAGATACATTCTTATTGCAAGCCCCGAGGAGCCGCCTTTGTAAAGGTGCGAAGTGCGTTGGTAAAGCAATGTTCTGCATTTATTATTACTTGAAAACATCTTATGATCTCAAGTAATGTAAACTAAAAAAGATCGATCGCTACAGAAGCAAGAGTAGAGATTAGCAAATTAGTCGATTTCATCTTTATATAAATTAGCTTGTTTTACATTTGGTTTACACTCTTCACACCCTTCCTTTCAGAGGGTTCTAACACAGAACACGAGACAAAAGAAAAAAAGTCAATCACGTATAGTCATCTTTTACGCTACACGAATTCAAAAGAGAAAATCGAAAGTGTGCTTACACTAGCGCGAATATGATTAGGTAGTCACTTTGGACGACAGAACGGAAAGAAAGAATAAAAACTATCTGTGCTTGCGTTTGTGGTAAGGCGGTGTGGTAGCGACGAGGCACGACAGAACGAAAAGGATTACGTTGTATGTTGCCGGTTTATTCCCGCTCTGTTGTTTTTACCTTATCCCTAAGTGACCCTATTAGACTTCTTTTCATGCACAAACACGTTGTGCATTCGACGCTCTATGAGCCAATCGCTAGTTGAACGTGCACACTTGCGTCGCTTTGTATTATGACAACGTATTTGTGCAAAAAAAGGAAGTCAATGACTTAACAGCACATTTAATTAGTGTTGACGTCGACCTTTCTTCTTAGAGCACCTCGTTTTACATTGATACGCTCAGTAGTTCGCGGGAAGCGCCAAAAGCCCGCGCGATCGAAGTGTCTTGGAACCTCTTTATGAATGATCATCTGTTCTCGGGCGATTAACTATGTAGAAGGAAACTCACTTAAATTCGCTCTGAAAGCTGGGAGATGTCAACAATATGTTGATTTCTCTGGTGTCTATATTCAAAAGTCTTCTTCTTTTACTCTGCTCGATAAAATATAGACATGCGACAGAACAATCGTTTGCGCATTGGTTTATTCTTGTGTTCTGTTGGAAAAAGTAAAACTCAAGAATAAGCCGTCGAGTGCAAAAGAAAGAGAATGGAGGCGAAGAACACAAAAACAAAATATTTTGTCGTCTCGTTCTCTCCTTTTTCCACTTATATACATATGCAGAAAAGCAAAAGATGATAAAACACCCACCTCCACTTTATCACACTTTTTCACGATTTATAAGTTTAAATCGCTAATACATGGTGCAATTTAACTTTTACCACCAGATCTGCAACTGGTAGAAAATCGTCTACAAAGATAAAAAATAAGGGAATAGCATAGAAATCAATCAAAGTTTCAAAGTGTGAATCCTCATATAGGTTAACATTTTAGAAATTGGATGTAATTGTGCCTTTTGCCTTACCTTTGATTATTGAAGATGAATTTTTAGTCTATCCAAAAGAACTCAAAATATTCTTGCAACATTGGACTAATCTTTTACTCAAAACTCTTCGTAGAAGGATCCCGTCATTGAAAAACTTAGTCTTCCTAATCGACCTTTTGTTCTATAGAACGAATTCAACTTTTTGCTTATACCGAAATCTCGTATGCGCTTACATGCCTTTAGCCTTTAGAATTTTAGTCTTTTAAGATCAAAATTAGTTTCACCATGCGAAAAGCTGTCTTTACTAGTTGATACAGAGTACAATGGAAAAAATAAAACTCATTGCTCGATCTTTTAGAATATATCGTTACGATATAAATACGAAGGAAGAATCCGCTACTGTGACCGTGTCGTGAAATTGTGCTAGAATAGCAGAACAACAGGCGCTGGAAGATTACGTGACCATCGCCATCAATGTCCAACCTTAATGTCCTCATATCCGGTTGCGGCATCGCCGGTAGCGTCTTCGCGCGCTCCTTCCCTCCGGTTGACTGGTGCCAGCGTTGACATACGCAGCTCAGCCGTGAACGTCATCAAATGGATGGGCGTCGATCAAGAGATCTTCCGCGGTATGCTTGCGAAGATCTTCATCGATCCAGTCATGGAGCGAGTGAAACTGATCTTTGACGAATCTGTCGACAATATTGAGCAGCGCGACGACGGAGTGGTCGTCAGGTTCGCAAACAGCAAGGAAGTGAAGACGTACGACCTTCTCGTGGCCGCAGATGGCCTTGGCTCTAGAATTCGCGGCATAATGTTAAATAGCAAACCGCGTGAGCAAATCTACGGCGAGGATGTTCATGTAGCATACTTCACTATCAACAGCGATCTGCTGCAGGGCTGCCGCCTGGCAAAGTGGTACAATGCAACGGGTGGACGCTGTATCTTTCTACGCCCCGATCCTGCTGGCCGTACGAGAGGCGATCTCATAAATGTGACTGCGCGTGGAGATATTGAAACGAAGAAGAGACTCAATGAAGCTCTTCGCGAAGGTAACGAAAGCTATATGAAGCTGATGGAAGAGATATTTTGTGACGCAGGCTGGGTTGCACCAGAGGTGTTGCAAAGCATGCACGAAAGTGTTGACTTTTACTGCTCTCTGTTCACGCAGGTTCGATCACCCAAAATACACGATGGCCGCGTGGTCCTGCTTGGCGATGCTGGCTATGCGACACCCGGCTTTGGCACCAGTCTTGCAATCATCGGTGGCTACGTCCTTGCTGGAGAGTTATACAGTCATCCGGACGATATCAAAACAGCCTTGAAGCAGTATGAAGAGCTCATGCTACCGTTTGCAAAGGATTCGCAAGGCGGGCTACCGAACGCGCCGCAGCTTCTCAATCCACAGACGCAGTGGGGTATTAGGCTCAGGAATACGATTTTGCGTCTCGTGGCATGTACAAAGCTGGATAAGTTGTCGATGGCTCTAGCCGTGGTGCTGGGCATCACAGAGAAGAAACTCCTTATGCCTGACTATAAATGGCCGGCTAAATGAACTTAGAAGAGATCTTAGGCCGTCTATAATATATATTATCATAACTAGTGACATAACTACTTCCAGATGTTGGGATGGTAATGTATTTCTGTTTGCTTTTATAACAAATTTAATGACATTTAATTGAGATTGTAAAGAAGAATAAAAATCTTTGCATTTCATTTAATTATTCAAATCTTATCTTTAATTTAGTATAGCAATTGTTTCAGTTGATATCGAGTTTGCACCAGGTGTTCATGCCTGCTTTATATGCGACTAAAGATAAAAGACATTGTGCAAATTCATTAGAACAAGCGATCAGAAATCACAGACAGGAACTTTTGCGATATCGGTAGATGAAGTTGATTTAGATACAGAAGGGAATGTTCCATTTGGTTCTATCGCTTTCTCTCAATAGAATGTTTTGAATTTGTGCTTTTCTTCAATGAATTCAATATCTGATTCAATAGAACAGTTGTCGTTCATTTACTTATCTATGTCGAATATCTCACGTGTTGAAGAGTTATAACAGACAGAAAATCAATACAAATAAAATTTCTACGCTTCCAGTCCTTATTTTTCCCACCGTGCATCGCATAAAATGGCAGTTTCGGCTATATCTCTTCATGCAAAAGAGTTACCGAAGCTAATTTCTGCCTCAGAAATCATGAAAATTTCCTCTTTCTTTGATATTCATTTTCCACTCCAGCTATTCATTCATCGACCTCTTTCTCACTCTCACGTCATTTCATACCTTATATCCTTCGAATTCACCCACCCTCAACATTTATCTTAATCTTTTGAGATCCTGTAACGCTATTGGTGAGTTTCGCAGGTTATCTGTAGTATTCACCGAACTATCATAGGCGTAGAGATCACGTGGATTGTTGTCTTTGAGCGCTCAGACGACCGTCGCTACCGACTCGCTGCAATTTTCGCACCCTGCAATCCTATTGGTCAGCTTCGCAGGTTGCTTGTAGCATGTATAGGACTGCTGAGCACAGTCAGAACACGTGGATTGATGTCTTTGGGCGCTCAGATGGCCTTCGCTATTGATTTCACCCACTTTTGAAATCCTGCAATTCTATTGATCAGTTTTATAGATTGCCTGTAGCACTCGGCTGGTTCCTTTGTTCTCCGGGAAAAGTAGATGTAGACCTTCCTCTGGGCCTCAGGAAGCTTTGTGAAAAGTTTCACGCCGATAGCTACTACAGGGACTGAATGCATAGCGAACAAACAGACAGACAGACAAACTTTCTTCTTTATACATATAGATGATGTTTTTTTCTCTAGGAAAATCAAATAGGATTATTTTGTAGACATTGAAAGAATTGTATTTCGAAAAGAATAACATTGGTTTGAAAGGAATTCAAAAATTCACAGAACTTCTACGAAAGAATCAAGTGATAGTTTCAGTAATCTAATGTATTTAGAAATATTTTTATATTTGAATCGACGTTAAGTACACTTGATTTGTCTAATAGTGGAATAACTGATCGAGGAATTGAATGTTTGATTTCTATGCTAGCAGAAAATCAAGCAAATATTCTCTTTTCAAGATTTATTAATCATCACACGGTTTTTCGACCTTCATAGGCATTAAAAACACTAAATCTTCGATCAAATTACGTTACTGTTCATGGAGCGATGCATTTTTTATAGAATCTACGAGATAACAAAATAAATGTTTATTTTTTTGTTTTGGTTCTTCTTATATTTTTCTTTTTAGATTTTGAATACAATTGATCTTTCTGATAATCGAATGGTTACTGATGGTCATGAACATTTTTTAAGTGTTTATGAAAACATTCGAAATCTTAATGTTATATTTTAATTTTGATTTTCATCATCAATATTTTTTCTAAAACTCAAAAATAAATCATAAAGAACAACACATTTCACTTTCTTGAAATTCTTCAGTGAAAATTTGAGATTTTCAAAGTACATTTCTACATCGTATTCTATGAAAAAACAAAAATGATTAAACATGGATTTATTTTCAGTCCATGCTTCGATCATGACTCACATTTCATATTTATTTGAATTTAATAAGATTATATTCATTCGTAAACCATACACTATCAATATGATGAGTGTAGGAGTATTTGTATTGCCTTTTATTTCTCATTTTCACTCTAAGTGCCATAAATCAAATAAATATTTATAAATGATATAGAAAATATTTTTATCTAATGTTTATTTTAATAAATATAAAAGAATAAATATTTTGATAGTGTATATTTGAAATATCTTTTTCATCAAAATTATTTTTTTTTTAAATAAATTGTACAAAATATTTTGACTTACTATTCTATGCTGCAAGAACATCAATCGATAAAAGTAGAACGACCTTTGACATAATAAGTGTTCGATTTCTTTTCTCCGATGATTCGTACATAATAATGAATCAGTAAATTCATAATTAATAAATAATCAATTTCTACACAATCGACTGGTAATTAAGGATAATATCTTCAAATCACCCATATCATTCACGTCACGAAAATTATGCAAGATATTGTTTTATATGCAAATCACAAATAAGAATAATTCTATGCTTCAATGATTTCTTGTCTTTATATAAACACGTTATAAACCTTGTAAGCCTCATCTGTACACGCTTCTATTCATTAAACAAAATCAACGACAACAAATAAAAATGTTCAACATGGGTTTCGGTCAAAACATGAATCCTTGCTGTCGTCCTCCTGTTCCAATTTGTCCCCCGGCTCCAGTTTGTCCCCCTCCTGTTCCAATTTGTCCTCCGGCTCCAGTTTGTCCCCCTCCTGTTCCAATTTGTCCTCCCGCTCCAGTTTATCTTCCTCCTGCTCCAGTTTGTCCTCCGGCTCCAGTTTATCTTCCTCCTGCTCCAGTTTGTCCTCCGGCTCCAGTTTATCTCCCTCCTGCTCCAGTTTGTCCTCCGGCTCCAGTTTATCTCCCTCCGGTTCCAATTTGTCCTCCGGCTCCAGTTTGTCCTCCACCAGAACCAGTATATGTTCCAGTTTGCTGCTGTGTTGAACAAATCTGCTGCGATCCTTGTTTAGGACCACGCCGTGTTACTCAATTTATTCAAACGATGGTTCGAGTACGATAAATGTTCACGGTTTTTTAGAAGAATTTTTTCCGATATTCTCAATAAATAAGACTTGAAATTGATTAGATTGTCTTTCATAACTTATAAAATATATAGAAATGATCTTGACCAATACGTGATTTTCGAGATGTACCCAGACAAACAAAAACGATGAAAAAATGTGTTTTTCCGCATGAGCAAGCGCGTTAAAATATCGTGTAATACCCCAACAGGAGAAAATCGATTTTCAATGTTCGAATACCGATAAAAGTATTTTTTCCCAAAACAGTCCTTTTTTCAACGTTAAAATACATATTTTAACGTGTTATTACTTATGAAAATGTGTGGTTTTGACGTCATCGAAACGGCGTAAAATAAGTTTTGTCTGTCTGGGTTGATGCAAACATGATTTACACTCATATCCTCCCACATTACCACAGCAGTGGGCGAAGATATTTTGTTTATGATATCTGAAAAAGTCTGATTACAGAGTAGAATATTCATTTCGTGTCGTTGTAATGACAAACTGGTTGAGTAGCTGACCGCTTCTCACGGTATAGATGTTTATTGACTACTCTACAGGACCAGAATGTATCTACTTCACAATAAGTCACACGCTTGTATAGAGAAGAGAGACGACCCGAAGATAATATGATATAAAGGTGAAAGAATAAAGAACAGAAAGAGATGAACGACATCATTATCGTTACAGTCGTCTTTCCTTTTATTTGTCCGATAAAAACAACAGCATTCTTTATATGAACAAAGAAATACGTATCTGTCATCTATTTGAAAATTTTGTAGGTTTTTTTTTAAATATCCGCATGACTCCATTCACTAAAACCAAAACCATTAAGATCTTCATCTAAAAGGATTCTTGTTTGATTTTGTTTTTCATAAAGAATAACTTGATAAAAAGAAATTTGTTCGAAAACTTTTAAACCCAAATCTCTTC